ACGTGCAGGTTAAGTACTTGAGTGGAAAGTTAGGACCTATGATCAGGGATTATTCTCAAAGGTAGACCAGGATAGAAATTATGTTAGGCCACAAAACAAGTCTTCAGACATTCAAAAATTGAAATAATATCAAGTATCTTCTATGACCACAATGGAATGAAACTAAAAATCAGTAACGAGAAAATTTGAAAACTATACAAACACATGTAAATTAAACAATGTGCTCCTGAATGACCAATGGTCAATGAAGAGCTTAAGAAGGAAATTGAAAAATTTCTTAAACAAATGATAATGGAAACACAACATATCAAAACCAATGGGATACAGCAAAGGGAGTACTAAAAGAGAAGTTTATAACTCTAAGTGTTTACATCAAAAAAGAAGAAAAACTTCAAATAATCTATTATGCAACCTCCAAGAGCAAACCAAACCCAAAGTTAGTAGAAGAAAGGAAATAAAGATGAGAGCAGAAAGAAAGGAAATTAAAATAAAGAAAGCAATACAAAAGCTCAACAAAAGAAAAAGTTGTTTTTTGAAAAGATAAACAAAAATGATAAACCTAAACAGACTAAGAAAAAAAGAGAGAAGACCCTGATAAATAAAATCAGAGATGAAAAAGGAGACATTGCAATTGATACTGCAGAAATTCAAAGGATCATTAGAGGCCACTGTGAGCAACTATATACCAATAAATTGGAATACTTAGGAGAAATGGACAAATTCCTATTACCTACCAACATTGAACCATGAAGAAACCAAAACCTTAATAGATCAATAACAAGTAATGAGATTGAAACCATAATAAAAGTCTCCCAGCAAAGAAAAACCTGGGACCTGATGGCTTTACTGTTGAATTCTACCAAACATTGAGAGAAGAACTAATACCAATTCTGCTCAAACTAATCCAAAAAGTAGAGGAGGAATGAATAATTCTAAACTCATTCTATGAGGTCGGTGTTACCCTAATACCAAAACCAGATAAAAATGCATTAAAAAATGAAAACTACAGGCCATTGTCCCTAATGAATATTGATGCAAAAATCCTCGACAAAATATTAGCAAGCCAAATTCAGCAACACATTAAAAAGATCATCCATCATAACCAACTGAGATTGATCCCAGGGATGCAAGGATGGTTTCTTCTGTATTTAGAACACAACAAAGATGCTCATTTTCTCCACCGTTATTCAACATAGTACTGAAAGTCCTAGCTAGAGCAATCAGAGAAGAGGGAGAAATAAGGGGCATCCAAATTGGGAGGGAAGAAGTCAAGTTATCCTTGTTTGGAGATGATATAATCTTACATTTGGAAAAACCTAAAGTCCCCATCAAAAAACTATTAGAACTGATAAACAAATTCAGTCAAGTTGCAGAATACAAAATCAACATACAAAAATCAGTAGCATTTCCATATGCCAACTGCAAACAACCTGAAAAAGAAATTGAGAAAATAATTCCATTTCAATAGCTACAAATAAAATTAAATACCTAGGAATTAACCAAAGAAGTGAAAGATCTCTACAAAGAAAACTGTAAAACACTAATGAAAGATATTAAAGAGAAAAATGAAAAGATCTTTCATGTTCATGGATTAGAATAATCATTATTGTTAAAATGGCCATACTTCTCAAAGCAATCTACAGATTCAGAGAAATTCCTATCAAGAATACCAATGACATTCTTCATATAAATAGAAAAAAAAATCCTAAAATGTATATGGAGCCAGAAAAGACTCAGAATAGCCAAGGCTATCCTAAGCAAAAAGAGAAAAACTGGAGGAATCACATTACCTGACTTCAAATTATACTACAGAGATATAGTAACCAAAACAGAATGGTACTGGCATAAAAACACACATTGACCAATGGGACAGAAGAGAGAACCCAGAAACAAATCCTTATATTCACAGTAAACTCATTCTTGAAAAAGTACCAAAAACATGCAATGAGGAAAGGACAGTCACTTCAATAAAAGGTTCTGGGAAAGTTGGGTGTCCATATGCAGAAGAGTGAAATTAGACCCCTATCCCTTGACATATGGAAAAAAAAAATCAAATCAGAATGGGATTAAAGAATTAAATCTAAGACCTCAAACTGTAAAACTACTACAAGAAAACATGAAGGAAACTCTCTAGGACATTGGACTGGGCACAGATTTCTTGAGTAATATCCCAAAGGAAACTCTCTAGGACATTGGACTGGGCACAGATTTCTTGAGTAATATCCCAAAGGAAACTCTTTAGGACATTGGACTGGGCACAGATTTCTTGAGTAATATCCCACAAGCACAGGCAACCAAAGCAAAAATGAACAAATGGGGTCACATCACATGAAAAAACTTCTGCACAGCAAAGGAAACAATCAACAAAATGAAGAGACAACCCACAGAATGGGAGAAAATATTTGCAAATTATCTATCTGACAAGGGATTAATAACCAGAAAATATAAGGAGCTCAAACAACTGTATAGGAAAAAATATAATAATCCAGTTTTAAAATGGGCAAAAGATCTAAATAGATATTTCTCAAAGATGACATTACAAACCACAAACAGGTATATGAAAAGGTGCTCAATATAATTAATCATCAGAGATATGCAAATCAAACTACAATGATATATCATCTCACTCCAGTAAAAATGGCTTTTATCCAAAAGACAAGCAATAACAAATGCTGGCAAGGATGTGAAGAAAAGAGAACTCTTGTACACTGTTGGTGGGAATGTAAATTACTATAGCCACTATGGAGAAGAGTTTGGAGGTTCCTCATTAAAAAATATATATAGAGAGAGAGAGAGAGCTACCATATGATCCAGCAATCCCACTGCTAGGTATATACCCAAAATAAAGGAAATCAGTATATCAAAGAGATACCTGCACTCCCATGTTTATTGCAGCACTAGTCACAATGGCCAAGATTTGGAAGTAACCTAAGCATCCATCAACAGACAGATAAAGAAAATATGGCATGTATACACAATGGAATACTATTCGGCCATTAAAAAGAATGAGAGCCTATCGTTTGCAACAACCTGGATGCAAATGGAGCTCATTTTGTTAAGTGAAATAAGCCAGGCAGAGAAAGACAAACTTCACATGGTCTCATTTATTTGTGGAAGCTAAAAATTAGCAGTTGAGCTAAAATAGAGAGTAAAATGATACCTACCTACCAGAGTATGAGAAAAAGTGGAGAAAGTGAGCAAGGAGAGAAGTGGAGAAAGTTAATGGGTAAAAAAAAAAAAAAAAAAAAAACCAAAGTGAATAACATCTAGTATTTGAAAGTACAACGGGTGACTATAGTCAATCATAATTTAATATTACATTTTTAAATAAGAGTATAATTGGATTGTAACACAAAGGTTAAATGCCTGAGGTGATGGATACCTCATTTACCCTGATATCATTATTACATATTGCATGCCTGTATCAAAATATCCCATGTACCTCATAAATATATATGCCTACCATGTACCTACAAAAATTAAAAATTATTAATAAATTGTTTAATTTAAAAAAACAAGGATGCCCACTTTTGCCACTTCTATTCAATATAGTAGTGGAAGTCCTTGCCAGAGCAGTTAGACAAGAGAAAGAAATATAAGGCACCCAAATAAGAAAGGAAAAAATGAAATTGTTGCTGTTTGCTGACAACATAATCTTTTTTTTAACATAATCTTATATATGGAAAACTCTAAATATTGCAGGAAAAAAACTGCTAGAACAAATATATTCAGTACAGTTGCAGGAAAAAAGGAAATTGTTGCTGTTTGCTGACAACATAATCTTTTTTTTAACATAATCTTATATATGGAAAAGTCTAAATATTCCAGGAGAAAAAACTGCTAGAACAAATAAATTCAGTACAGTTGCAGGAAAAAAGGAAATTGTTGCTGTTTGCTGACAACATAATCTTTTTTTTTTAACATAATCTTATATATGGAAAACTCTAAATATTCCAGGAGAAAAAACTGCTAGAACAAATAAATTCAGTACAGTTGCAGGATACGAAATCAACACCACTAAAATCACTAGCATTTCTATATCCTAACAGCAAACTTTCTAAAAAAGAAATCAAGAGAACAATCCTATTTACAGTAGCTACAAAAAATAAAATACTTAGGAATCAATTTAACAAGGTGCTGAAAGACCTGTACGTTGTACTCTATAAAATATTAATAAAATAAGTTGAAGAAGCCACTAATCCTTTTCAAATCCACCATGCCCCAGTCCAGCTGAACAACTCGTACTTTTCAGAAACTACTCTATGTGTTCTCACTGTTCTGCAGCTAGCCACCTCTTTCACCTCCTTAGGTCACCTTCTTTATCATTTCTGCTTCTCAAGATGTTAATCCTCCTTCAAAGCCCAGGTGTGATGACATCTCCCTAGTCAAGAGCTCCCTCAACACCTCAAGCTTATAATAACTAATCTCTTCCTTGAATTTCCATAGCAGGTTATTTTTACTTTCATCATAATACCTGCCTCATCCTATTTTGTATTTTAATTATTTGTGTGTGACATATTTCTCTTATTAGGCCATAAGTATCTTAGGACAAGAACTATACCCTGATTTTTGTTCCACTACAAATCTTATCACATACCTTGCACACAACAGACGCTCAGGAAATGCCTGCCAAGGTAATGAATGGACTCTCTAAATTAACATAAATTATTATTTTGTAAACTGACCCAGTCCTAAATCCACAGTGCTATCATTTCTGTATCACTGATGGTTATCCACTTACTTAAATAACCTTTCTTTGAATACACTTAGAAAAGATGGAAAACTGTGTTATAAGGGAGGAACAAGTATGTAGGTTATTCTTTTCCTTAAACAAAGAGAAGTTCTGTTATGCGTCATGGAAAATTAAAGCACAGTAATAAAAAGCACCAACAAGATTTGTTGAATAATGATTTAGTGGAAACGTTGCTTGCCTCCTGATCATAGATCCTAACTTTCCTCTCAAGTACTTAAGCTGCACGTTCTATTTATTTTGTTTCTAGATTACATTGACAACTATTGGCTATGGAGACAAAACTCCCCTAACTTGGCTGGGAAGATTGCTTTCTGCAGGCTTTGCACTCCTTGGCATTTCTTTCTTTGCACTTCCTGCCGTGAGTATCTTTGCACCAATAAACCGATTTACATTAGGTCTTAGAGACTTATTAGAGTGAGCTCTCACAAATTGGTATGCTTGGGAACATATCTATATCATTTACAAATATAATTTTTCTGATACATGTTGACTTCTCTAAATATATCTACTTGGATAATTTGTAAACTATGATCTTCCCTTGGAGACACTTAACCTGAGACTTTATTTAATATTAGCTCATATTCCATGACCAAATAATAATTCAGATGGCTCACTTTTTAGGCAACATGCTACTAAGACATTTAAAATATTTGCAAAGACATAAAGCTATCTTCTTTTAAAACTGATCCTTCCAATTTGGTTTATAATGTGTGCTACTTAAGAGATGGATATGCACAGTGAAGTGTTTTTCTCTTCAGATCCATTTGATTGAAAAGCATATGACCTTAAAGGGTGTTAAACATGGCAGATGATTTATTCATTGTGTCATCATCATTGATTTTTTTAATGAGCAGTTTCTGTATCTTATCAGAATAAAGGGCACATTAATCTGCCCCCAGGCTTCTGATTATTTTCTCTTCAGTGAATGAAGCCTGCCTTTCCGATCATTTTATTCTCTTGTGTCTTTTAAAGGCAGCTGTTCAAAATATTACAGTTTGCCCCCGTTTCCAAGTTCTTGCTTTTGTTTATTCCACCTTGGGTGGGGAAGGAGGAGCCAACCAAAAGGAGAGGTAAGGCGTTGGCAGCAGGAGTGCTTAAAGGAAAATAGCTCCAGTCTTGCTCCAGACGCAGCTCAAGCTATACAACCAAAGACCCCGGAGCACCTCTCCAAAGCCCTTTTAGCTCATGGGGCTTCTCCTGAGCCTGTTAATGAGTACAGAGGACACCCTTGTCCCACCAGTGCCCAACTCGAGATTCACCAGGTGGTTCTGCCTCAGAACACTCAAAATCACAGAAAGACTGAAAAGTCCATGTGTATGCTTGGGTACTAGACCTCAGTTTGAATTACATTTTTATCATGTACTTACTATATGACTGCTTTAGTTTACTAGGGCTGTCTTAACAAGTACCATGGACTGGGTGGCTTAAACAATAGAAATGTATTGCCTCACAGCTCCCAAGGCTAGAAGTCCAAAGTCAAAGTGTTGAGAAGTCATGAGAGCCATGAAAGAAGGATGTGTGCCAGGCCTCTCTCCTTGGGTTATAGATGGCTCTTATTCCTGTGTCTTCATGTCATCTGTGTCCAAATTTCTACTTCTTATAAGAACACCTGTCATATTGGATTACAGTCCATCCTAATGACCTTGTTTTAAATTGATTACCTCTGTAAGGACCCTATTTTCAAACAAGGTCACATTCTGAGGTCATGGGGATTAGGACTTCAACGTAGGAATTTCAGAAGGACACAGTTTAGCCTGAACAGTGACCCTGAACAAGTTTCTTTTTTATTAGAATGGAAGAAGAATTATTGAGCCCAGAGAAATTTTGTGCAGACCAATGCAATAATGTAAGTCAAGTGCTTGTCATGAAGAGAACTCTCAATAAATGTTACTTCCCTTTACCAGGATGAATCTAGAAATACATGTTTCCTGGAACAAAATGATGAAATCAAGGAGAGTCAAAAAAATAAAATCTTATGTATCCAAGGCAACTTCATCTGGCAATCTCAACAATTCAGAACAGAGAAGAGATTCACTCAATAATCAGATTCCCTACAGGAAAATACCTTTAGAAACAGTACAACACAGTCTTGGGTTTTTTCCCAAAATAATGGCACAAAATAATAGCAGCTTTTGTGCTTATATTTATCCTGAGGCCACATTTATAGCAACCTCTATGATTCAGTGAAAAACTGTGAAAGGAGGTGGGCAACCTCTGGGTTGCTGAAATAGACATGTCAGTGTTCTGTCCTCATAGGAGAGCCACTTGAGATCTAATTCATAACCTAGTCTTCGTTCCTAGAAAATTCTGATAAACTCACATATATGGTTTCACAATTCTTTGAAGATTAAAAACTACAAATACAGAGGAAGCTGATAGACCAAACACTGCAACAGAAAGAAATGGTAAAAGACCAACAGCAAAGGAGGGGAAGGAAATCTGTGAGTAGCAAGGAGACATAAATGTTCAAAATGTGTATCTTGTTGTCAGGTGGTCAGTAAAAATAAAATAAAAAGATAAAACAAAATGTGTAAAGATCTAGGGCCAATTAGTGTTAGGGTCAACACTCCTCTGGAAGTTGGCTGCATCTAGCACAGCGAAAAGCCAGTCCCCATGAGGAAACTCTGCACTATCACAGGGAGGTTAAATATGTCACTGGTTAAGTTAAAGGTCAGAGACTAAGTAGTCGTTCTTGGAAATGTTTCCAATAAATTAAGTATGAAATTTTAATATACAAATTAAATTAATATAAATTAAATTAAATTGGAAATCTGAAAATTTTGCTTTCACAGAAAAGAACATTTCTTAACAATGCCAAGAAAAGTCACCTTTACTATAGATCTTTTACTGAAATCCCATGATATTTTCTGAGTCCTCATTTATTAAATGAAAAACTAAATGGTCCATATATACCTTTAGAAAAAAACAAGGTGGCCAGAGATTTTATTTTATCCTGTGTACCTGCCAGCCAATAGTGTTGTCTGATTTAAATTTAGGAAGACATATTGATAATTTTGCTGAGAAAGCTTGAGGGGAATTGTGGGCTACCCCTGTGTAGGGTTCCTCTTACCCAGGACACCTGAGAACCAAGAAAGAAAAGAGCCTTTCTCCATCTTACCCTCGAATGCAGAAGGGCTATCCTGTACATCACAGAGTCACACAAGCCACCCTTCCAAAGCTCCACTGTGGGGTCACTGCCCCTGCTGCCCCTCCATCTCAGGGCTAATGAGCTCACAGAAGAAGCCCCAGCTCCTCTCTGTTACCCTGAAAAGCAGTTCTTTCTCCTCTTTAGGGTGCTCCCTTGTCTTCTGCTAGATATTCCTGCTAAGAGTATCTTTTCATTGATGAAGAAATTGAGTTTTATAGAGACTGAATTTCTTGAGACCTCCAGCTAGTAAATTCAGTGCAAGAACTAGTTCTGTTTGACTCAAGATATTAGCCATACAATTAAAAAAAATGGCCACTGTAATCATTAACCATATTAACTAAATGTAATTGTTGCAGATAATAAAATGTTAACAACCATTTTAAAAATAGGGTATCTTTCAGCATAGCCTTTGCTATGTTTGGGTTACAAATTAGGTTCATATAATCCAGAAGATAATGAAGGGTAAATATTTTTTAGACCAAAACGTATTTCCTCTCTACTTGGTGTTTATGCAGCAGTTCTCAGCAAAGTGCTGAATCGTACAACCTAAAAAATTAAGTCTTGTTGTCTTAGAAAATGAATTAAAACAAGACTCAATGTCTAAGAATTTACATCTATTGGTGTCAATATTTGGAGGGATGACACATATGTGTTCAAAGCTTAAGCCATGTTTTATGTGTGTATATATATAATAGACTTTATTTTCACAGACTTCTATTTAGGTGCACTGAGGTGGAAAAAAATTGGAAAAGAGCCATTATGAGACAATAAGCAGACCTGGTTTAATAACTGCTATAATGTACAGTCTGGCGCAAGAGATACGTAGCAAACATTTGCCATTCAGTAGTATATGTTTCCGAGCAATGCCAATGTGATTTTCAGCACATTTTAGATTGTTTCGCAGATAACAGATTTGTGCTATGTAGGGCCTGTCTTTATTTTCCAAAGGGTATTAAACTCTGAACCTCATATGCACATAATAAATGCTCAGAATGGTTGCTACTGCTGTTAATTCAATGTTTACAAAATCTGAATTATGCTTCATACAAGTGGATTATACACAAATATGCACATAAACACATGTATATATATAAATAGATGCTAGAAATTCTAATATTTCATATGCTCTTACATGTCTAAACTTTATGAAAAGTAATATTAAAGGGAAAATGAAGGAATCTTTCCTAAATGATCTTAAATAGCAGAAAAAAATTAGAAGTTACAAATGACTTAAGTTGTTCTGGATTTAGAAATGGAGGGGCACTTTTATAACTCCTAAATGGAGGGAAACGTTGTTTAAATCTATAAACCAGATCACAGAGACCAGGTTTTTATAAAGCTGAGTTTGTACAATCACAACCTGTATGAGATAGAGATCTTAGACAGTGTAAGACAGTCACTGAAAAAGAGAGATGTAAAACAGAACCTATGATGTAATTTCTAATTTCATAGTACAGTCATTTATACTAATTAATAATGGAGTAGATCATTGCTCATGAATAGCAAATAGTATTATTAGACCACTGCATATTTTAAACATGATTGTATTACTTATTGTCTGGTTATTGTCACAGATGTACTCAGAATTATGGAATCTCAAGATAAGAAGGAAGGTTAAAGGCTATCTAGAGCCCAAAAATATCTCAGCCAAGTTGTTATTCAGCTGAGACTTAACACCTTCTAAAGATGAAAAACCCACCGCCTCTCCAGGCAGCCTGTGGCATCTTTGAACCATCTTCGAGCTACTCTAAAAATATAAAGAAAAGAAAAACAACCATTCCTTACCTGTGGCACATAACTGACTTAGTGCTTATAAAATGTTCATCTATAACCTAAGGGTTCGACTCCTTGAAGTTTAATAAAAAGCTAATAATTTATAGCTAGCAAGTAAAATCCACAGACTTGAAAGCAGCAGAGCTCCCAGTCTCATGCCAATAAAGTCAAGAGTTATAGACAAAGCCCAGAGACTGAATTTAGCAAGCTCCAAAAGTCAACCCAAGGCTGGGACAAAGCATCTTGTTTTCACAAATGCTAGTAGACCAGAAAAAATTGAAGAGTGGGGAACATCAAAGACACCAGAATTTTGGCAGATCAAGATGATAAGCAGAAGGAAAACAAACTGGCCAAAAACTAATATAAACCTAGAAGGGAACACTAATCTTACTAATCCCAAAAACTGAGTGGGTGAACCAAAATCAAAAAGACAAGGAATGGTAAAAGTATGAATTAAAATGGAAATGGGCTTTGCAATGATCCTTGTTCTTGTCTCTGTTATATGAATGGGCAAAATAGAAAAACTTCTACTATGTGTCTTCAAAACTGGGTATTCCCTTCCGCCTCCATTTTACTTTTCTTTTAGTAGGTATAGAGTTGTAACACTATAAAGAACTACAGCTGGGACAGATTGTATACAGTCCTCTCTCCTCCATTTCATGGATAGAGAATATAACTTTTAAAGTCTCATCAAAGTGCTAAACATATTCCCCATTCACAGCTGTGAGACTTTAACCCCCCCAGAGTTAAAATCCAGCTCTGTCCCAAGCTGAAATTCATGTTCTCTACACTCCACCACTGAATAAGACCATTCACCCTAACTTAAGCAAAAAGAAATGTCACAGAGAAGGCCACACACACACACACACACACACACACACACACACATTTTTATTGTGATTTTATTTATAATCGTGGTGCTTCTTGCTATACCACAAAAGATAATAAATGACAATGCCTAATTGATTTACTAAAGAACAGATGTTGTATCTCTTGGCAGTATTGCCCAACAGTTTGTCTTTGGCTGATGGTATTATAATGGGGAGCAATACTGCTTATTTTAACAAGTAACATGTTTCTGGACAGCTTACATACTATTTGTCTTCTCTCAGACTCATTTTAGTGACTTTTCAATATTTGTATTATTTAACCGTGCTTTTGACGTTTTTGAGTGCCATTTTTGTATTTTGTTCCAGGGCATTCTTGGCTCAGGTTTTGCATTAAAAGTACAAGAACAGCACCGCCAGAAACACTTTGAGAAAAGAAGGAACCCAGCTGCCAACCTCATTCAGGTAAATGTCAATGTAATAGGTAGATGGCAACATCTGTGTCCATAGTGCTTGATGGGTCATTTTCCAATCTCTGTGTTTCATTGCTTGGTAGAACTACTGCTTTGTTCCTTTTTAAAAAATGAAGTCAGAACTTAATATACAGCCTTGGATTTGGGCAGGTGTTCCTCCTCTCTCAATCTGAAAAACATGTATTTTTAGCAAATGATCCATGCATTGTTCAGACTAAGTAACCATGTCAGCAAGGCCATGCAAAGGTTAGCAGTTATGTTGCTCCTGGAATTATCTAATACATCTTATGAATTACTTGATGAAACATAATTGATCATTAAGTGGTAGAGCAGAACAGGGCATTGTTCCCTGCATTACAATTACTTTCTCCAGCCACATGTATGTCGCTGCTTTAAAGAACAACATATTTGTTTAGAATGTCAAGGTTTAATACCTGTGAAATTGCTTTTAGTGCCATTGAGGGAAGTAAGTGGAAATAGTTATCCTATTTTGAGAGCTGATGGGATTATGGAATACATCAGTGTTTGAGAATATTAAACAATAAGCATATAATTTGAAGCTAGCTCATAATCCATAGGTTGTTATTATTTCATTTACTTTTCAGTAGCTCAGGATTAGCTTCAGCACTAAAAGGAATGCTTTTCTTTTTGCCATCCATATATTTGCCATCCTAGATTCAGGTTAAGAATCACAAAATATATTTTTTGTTAGATTCATAATGTAGAGTTGACATATAGTTATGGACTAAATAATTCTACAATCTAAAGTTTCCCCCTTCCTGCTAGGGAAGTGGAAGCTACAGAATTTCTAAACTAGAGGGGCTTAAAGTGGTGCTCCAAGGCCCTAGGAAGCTTATCTTAATGCTGCAATAACAAGCACACTGCTATAATTTAGGTTGTGGGTTTGAGTGGGTGGGTGGTGGGAGATCACCACCACAACCCCTGCTTTTAGTGTTTATCTGTGGCTGTGATACATGCAGTGCCTCCCACAGACATGGAGCCGGGAAAAGGAGAGGGCAGTATGGCTCATTATATCACGAAGGAGATCTGTTTGTATCTAATCACTAAATAAGGATATTAATTTTTAAATCAAGCTATTCTGCAACTGTTGACAAGAAAGTGGACCATCGGGCATGGCTTCCAATGCAAATCACTGAGGACCTCTTATTTTTTACATTTTATTTTTTACAATATTTTTACATATTCTTTACGGGTTTTAAAAGGGCACTAAAGAGAAAGTAAACTCTATTTCCTCAAACAAAAAGATTCTTACGTAGTTAGAGTTTAAGATCTGATGCCAACCAATAATCGGCAGAATGAAAAGATGAGTCACACAGTTTAGGACACATGCAAAATACCCCAAAGTCCAGAATTCATAGCCTTTCATCCTTTAGCACTCCTTAACTGGTTACACATGTTCTCATGCTTCTAATAAGTTTTTTTCTTTACTGTTCTTATCCTTTAATTTCCCTTCACTCTAGAACAATGTTTTCCAGCCTGTGAGTGCAGAAGTTATTGCATGGGTTCCTTGCATCCATCTGAGCACCAAGCCCTATCTACATATGGAACCAATAATACATTTCACACAATAAAATCTCTTGGAATATCAGCTGTTATGTTAGAAAGTGAGCTCTTTGAGGAATTTCTCATGCACATATCAGTTGTGATGATAGAAAGCTGCGCTGCTCAATACAGCAACCACTAGCTACATGTAGCTTTTTACATTTAAACTAATTAAAATTAAAAACCAAGTTTGCCAATGGCACCAGCCACTTCTCAAGTGTTTGATAGCTATAAGGGGCCATCAGCTACCATACCGTACAAGAGAAATATAGAGAATAACTGCAGGAAATCTCCTGATCTAACTTATTATTGACTACTACACTGTGCAAGAACAATTTCCAATTGAACTTGAAAATGAGTTGCTATTTCTATGCAAATCATTGGAGGAGAGGCATTTGTATGTCTACAGTCAAAACAAGGCAAGGCCTCCCCCACAGGTAACCCTGTGGAGAAGAGGCTAATTGAACAGTTTTATTTGGAGGGCTAGAATTTTATTTTATGGAACTGAGTTATGTAATATATATTGTGATCAGTTATTGAACTTGTACAACTGCAGGTAATAATGAAGCAAAATCAATGAGTTTTTATTTTACTTAAAACTCCAACTTATATGTTGTTCTTATTATTTTTGTTATTCATAACAAAAATAATGCAAAATGGAAGGCTTGAAGCATTCAAGAGTACCTTTAAAATCTAATCATAATATCATTAATCAAAGTAGAATCTACTAATATTAAAAGCAATAGCTCCTTCACTTAAATGCAATTATTTATTAGACATAGAAATAATAATATAATTATTGAATTTGTTCATTGTTTTTCCTTGCTGTAGTATTTAGACAGAATTCAAGGCTTTAAGCCTTGATTATATATTGTAGAAATTTATATTTCAGGATGCAGTAGATTGAAAAGCAACTTCATTTACTGATCCATTCACTTTCTTACCCAATAAACCTGACTTGGTTTGCTGAACACACAAAGCATCAAGCCCAAAAGCGTCTTGTTTATTTTAGGCCAGAGTCATTATCTTCTTAAAAGGGCAGCTGAGATGCCTAAATTGCTTCATCATTTCGTTGGTGAGAGAACTAAATTAACCAACATTTCAGGGTTTTAGGAAAAAATGTAAACCCCCAGAAGCTTGCAGCAAATTTAGCTGTGTCAATATCTTTGCATGATTCATTTAAATTAACTTTTCATTTTAAGCTGGAGCAGTCTGGAAAAAAGAAATCAGCTCTCAGTAATGTTTTGAATACCTGCCCAAATGTCACAATTTTTATTAATAATGCTTAAGACTCATGAAGTGCTTTTTAGTTTGCAGGGTGCTTCTAATACATTATGTTACTTGATCCTCAAGACAAGCCTAGGAGGAGCTAGGACTCAAATCCCTGCTGTCTGAATCTGAATCCATTACTCCTTTCTAAAAGCATCATTGACATCCTTGTAAATATATGAGGATGTATGGGATGCCTTGGGACTTACACTTAAAGATTCTTCAAAAGTTCCATGTTAAAGGTTTACTTCTGGAGAAATTGGACTAGCTTATGGTGGGGTCAGGGTGCTTTATTAGAAACAGAAACAGGGAATTAAGTAAAAGTTTGTGAAATAAAGGCTGGTAGGGATAGATTAGAAGATGTTGCTTTGATGCTAACTGACCCAAAAGAAAAATATACGTTTGTATTGAAACTTTGGCTTCCCCCAGTAAAATGACTTAGTCTTCGCCAAATTACCCTAAAGTGAAGCCACTAGTCATTAAGCTCAAGCCACTTATATAGAGATTTTACATCTTATTAGTGCTCCAGTCATAAATAAAAACAGGGCCATATGCAGTGATTCATTACTGTAATACCAGCATTTTGAGAGGCCAAGATGGGGGAGGATCACTTGAGTTCAAGATCAGCCTGGGCAGTATAGTAAGACCACATTCTTTAATAAATAAATAAGAACAGACTCAGAAAAAAAAATCTTAGATGTGAAAAACATGAAGGTAAGAAAAAAAAAAAGGTAAAATAAAGTTGTGAAAATCTCCCTGAAAGTAGAATAAAAAGAGATTGAAAATAAAGCAAAAAAAGACGAGAAACATGAAGGACTCATCCAGGCATTCCAATATCCAGCTAACAGAGATATCTCAGCTCAAGTGCAGGGAAACTATGAGGAGGATTTTATCCAAGAAGTATGACATTATGATTTTCCAGAACAGGAGGATGGGAGTGGCCATAGTAGAAGAGCTCACCAAGTGCCCAGCACTGTGAACCAAAAACTTCACCCCAAATTATCATAGTAAAATATCAGAAAACTTACAAAAGGGGCATCCTAAATGCTTTCTGAGGAGGACATAGCCAAAGGATCAAAAATAAGGATGACATTGGATTTCTCATTCATAACCCAAAAATTAGAAGACAATGAAACAATACTTTCAAAATTATAGAAATTATTTTCAACCTAAAACTCTATATCCACCCAAACCACCATCAAGTGTGAGAGCAGCACCAAGTCACTTTTAGGCATGCAAGATCTTAAAAATTACCCTGCCATTTACCTTTACTCAAGAAACTTTGTAAATAGAATTTCTCCACCAAAACATGGGGATGAGCCAAGGGAGAGAGAGGTGGGATCAAGGAAACAAGAGATTCCACACAGGAAAGAGCAAAGGGGATTTCTATGATGATAAGGAAGGGAAGTCCCAACACAATAGCTACAGCAGGCCTTGAGAACAGAATGAAGGGGAGGCTGAGAGCTCCAGGAGAAAGATCTTCAAGGAAGCGAAAGAATGGAACTCTCAGATTTCATGATGCGTTTGACCAGAGGAATTTTATAGTTCTGTTGGAAAGATCTGGAATGTATTTATAACAGGTACATATATACAAATCAAGAAATTAAAATCGGGCAATTATAACTCCCAAAAGAACAAAAACTTGTGTAAGAAAGAGTAGCCATAGTACATTACATTGCTGAACTGAAAACAAGTTGCATTGTCATAATAATGCAGATATTAAATGGTAATTTAATTAAGAATTGTGGTATTAAAATCTTGATATGAAAGGAGTGGACATGCAAGTGGGCAATGTCATCTTTCATGATAGGAATTTAGTTGATAATGTCTAAAATAGAAAAATCAAGAAATATAGCCATAAGCATAATCCTTAAACATAAGCATTCTTGGCTGGGCGCAAGTGGCTTATACCTGTAATCCCCACACTTTTGAGAGGCTGAGGTGGGTGGATCACTTGAAGCCAGGAGTTCAAGACCAACCTGCACAACATAGTGAGACCCACCTCTACAAAAAAATAAAAATAAGTCAAGTGCAGTGGCATACACCTGTAGTCCTAGCTACCCAAGAGGCCAAAGTTGGAGGATTGCTTGAGCCTGGGAGTTCAAGGCTGCTGTGAGCTATGATCGTACCACTGCACTCCAGCCGGGGTGACGGAGTATGACCTCATCTAAAAAAATAGTAATACTAAATTAGGATTCTTAAAAATAGAAGCAACAACTATAAGAATTGAAGGGGTTGCCTCTGAGAAACAGAAAGTAGTGTGAAGAGAAGTGTGGAAAGGGATGGCTAATTAAAAGCCTAAACCTTTCAGGACTCTGACATTTTAAACTCTGTACCTTGAAAAAATAAGTTCCATGTTCATTATTCCGTTAGATGGTCAGCTGAAACTTTCTAGACCATTTCCAGTAAGGATCAAACATGCAGTAATTGTAATACTCTAAGCAAGACAAACAAAATACTCCCAAAAAACTGAATTATGCTGGCATTGTACTTATTGAGCAAAGTTCAAATCTGTTTGGCTGCCTAGAGCACCAGCATCACCTGGTAAATGGTAAATTTGGCTCTCATTTTGCTTCTTGTTGATTTGTCCTTTGAATTGTATACGCCATGTAAATTAACCATAGGAAATTCCTCTAAACAGTTATTTTTCTCTTGCCAATTACTGTGTGATTTTGGCTTTAAATATAGGAACATCAGCTACTGGATCACAGGGATATGGGCTCAAAGTTCAGCTACTAGAAGCAATTTGCTGAGAGAGCGAGCTAAGGACAAAACAAAGTTATTAGAGTGTAAGGGGCATAGAGTTACACTTTCCACCTTTGCTGTAACTGTTAACTAATATCAGCCATGTGACAGATGCCACCAGTGCCTTCTATACCTCTCATTTAAAAGGCATTTTTGGGAGATGAGTAATGAAGGAAACAAGCCTTAGCTGCTGGGATCAATTTGATAGAAAAAGAGCAAGACACCAGGTCTCATTGTAAAGAAAATCTTTAGTTTTCTCAGAGTGGCCTCTTTTGCCCCCAGTTCTTTATAACACTCACAGGCAATGCCTTGGTCCCATTCTTTTGTTGTTGTTGTTTTGGGTTTTTTTCACTGGTAGTCTGATAGTACAGATCTGCTATATGCTTCTACTTCTACAGGACTCTTGCTTTCAATGTATCAGAATTCATATATATGTGATGCCTTCTATGGAAATTGTTTAATTAAAGCAGCCATCTGTGTCATCACAGTATTAGAGGATCTCTGGTCTTCACTACCACAGAAGCTGAAATAATAAATCCATGTGTTTTCCTTACTTATTCTAGATCACTCTATAAATTGTATGTGTATAATATTTACAAAACATTAACATTTCCAGATGATACAACAATAGTTGCCTTATATCAGATGTTAAGATACTTGCTACAAATATCCACAGATTTGTAGATTAAATCAGCATAAGCTATGTAAGAAGGCTGCAGGCAAAGAACTCTGTTTCAATCATTTAAACCTTCCTTAAAAATATAAAAAGTCCCTCAGGTTCTACTACTATATTTTTCTAGTTTTTAATATCATTTTCTGAAATTTCACTGAAGTATAATGTGCATGCAGAAAAGAGCACATATCCTAGGAGAACTTAGCACTCCTGCATAACCAGCACTCAGATGAACAGAGCATGACCTCCTGTGTACCCCTTCATGATCACTATCGCATGAGGATAACCATTATGCTACCTTCTAATAGCATAGAATAGTTTCCCCTGGTTTTTGTACTTTATGGAAATGTACTCCTTGGTGTCTTCTTTTTCCCATTCAACATAATTCACATGAAATTCATCCATAGTGTTGAGTGTAGTAATATGTACTATTGCCATGTAATATTGCACCATGTAAATGTATTACAAATTTTCTGTTTTACTGTTGCTGGGTGTTTGGGCATTTCCAGCTTTAGTTTACTAAGAAACCAACATGTAGTGCATACCTTTTAATGAACATATATAAGCATATGTGTTGAAAGTATCATAGGATTATATATATGTTCAACTTTAATAGAAACTTCCGGTTTTCCAAAGTAGTTGTGTCAATTTTTAACTTCTATTCAGCATACATTTATTCAATGATATTCTCAGGAAAAGGAATATTATTACATCACATTTACTTCATTGTAGATTTCAAAATTATGACTGATGGTTATATAGTAGGACTATGGCCCATTTAAATGAATCTGTCTGCCAGGCATAGTGGCTCATGCCTGTAATCCCAGCAAGTTGAGAGGCCGGGGTGAGCAGATCACTTGAGGTCAGAAGTTTGAGACCAGCCTGACCAACATGGTGAAACCCTGTCTCTACTAAAAATATAAAAGTTAGCCAGGTGTGGTGGTACATGCTTGTAGTCCCAGCTACTTGGGAGGCTGAGGCACGAGCACTACTTGAACCCAGAAGGCAGAGGTTGCAGAGAGCAAAGATTATGCCACTGCACTCCAGCCTGGGGACAGAGAAAGATCCTGTCTCAAATAAATAAATAAGTTTGTCACATAAAATAGAATGTTTTGATTAATCCACTATAATGAAAAATTTTCTCTGAGGAGATTGGTGTAAATACTTGACCATTGGAGATGTTTGTAGACTCATTACAAGAAAGAAATTTACAAAAATCTATATTGGAAAGTAAGGTCAGCAATCTCTCAGATGAGCAGTTCAGATAGAAGCTTTTCCAACAAGTCTTCAAGCAGTCAGCAAGTATCCATGGAGGGATTCTATGACTGAGAGCCAGGCAATTCGAGATACTGTCTCAACTCCACCAACCTTGTATAAACCTCTTCATTTATCTAAGCACTTCTTTTCTCACCTACAAAATGGGAATCTTAATTCACACTTTGACTGTGAGGATCACATAAAAATACTTTGTCTTATGTATGCCAAGTATAATTATATGAAATGGAGAGAGCTTATGTTTTACATAAAAGAGCTATAAACATATTCTTAGATCATGGCATAAATCCTTAGGTGTTTTCCAGCTAAACACCTAGAGAGTACATTTTCCCCATCTTGTTTTAGTTCTGCTTCTTGTAATCACTATCTTCATTTTTAGCATTAGAAGTATTATGTAATTCAAGGATTTCAATAATTAAATCATTAGCATACCCTGGTGTTCATTAGTTAACTAGTTAGCTTACTAGTTGCATAGTGGATTTTCATTAGTCCTTTGCTTCTCCTTTATCAAATACTGATTAAAGATCAATCCCTGGAATATATGTTCATGCCCAAGTGGCTTACCTAACTACTATCTTGGAAATCAGTATTTAGCCAATCATTACTTTTTGTTTTGGATAATATAGTATCTCCCTTACCAATTCAAAAATTACATTATATTGTACTTTTTGGGCTTTTTGCTGCTTGGTGTGTTATTTTGAAAAGCAGCTCTGGCCAGGTGCAGTGGTTCATACCTGTAATCACAGCACTTTGGGAGGCCAAGGTGGGCAGATCACTTGAGGTCAGGAGTTTGAGACCAGCCAGGCCAGCATGGCAAAACTCCATTTCTACTAAAAATCCAAAAAAATAATTAGCTGGGCACAGTGGTGGACACCTGTAGTCCCAGCTACTCTAGAGGCTGACCACAAGAATTGCTTGAACCCAGGAGGCAGAGATTGCAATGAGCTGAGATCACACCACTGCACTCCAGCCTGGGCAACAGAGCAAGAGTCCATCTCAAAATAAATAATTTTTAAAAATAAAAAATGAAAAGCAGTTCTGATGTGATGCAAAATGTTTAACAGCCAGCTGAAAATGCCAAAGTAGCCTTCTTCCTCTTTGGGGTATTTATCAGGGCTAAGTATGAGAAGCAAAAGATTCTTAATGTGTAGTAACTCAATCATTTCTCTTCTGATTTTATTCTATCTCCTGCTCTCTTTTTTTCTTTTTCATGTCCCTGTCTATGCCACATGCCACATGCAGTGTGTTTGGCGTAGTTATGCAGCTGATGAGAAATCTGTTTCCATTGCAACCTGGAAGCCACACTTGAAGGCCTTGCACACCTGCAGCCCTACCAAGTAGGTATCAGTGTGACAGCTGCTGCTGTAGTTGAGTCTTTTCAAGTTTGTTAAACAAACCATACCCACACATAAAAGGTGTTGATGTTTGGCGTGTCTTACTCTCTGTTCCTCTTAGAGAGATTCAAACCTTTTTAGTAGCAATTCCGGCACAAAACTAAATAGAATCACTATTATTCCTCACAATCCACAGACTGGGATTAAAGATTAAAAGAATGTGAACTTTTATAGAGATTTATTTCTACTATTTATGTTTTTCTGTAACGTCTCGTTTCATAAAGCCCACCAGCATCCTAAAGGTAAGCACCGCAGTTCTTGAAAAACAAGGATTATTTATTTTGTACCCATCACCTGACCCCAAAAGATGAGTGCTTCAAGAGTAATTCATCTTTGTACGTTTAAATCTCTCAAAGCCATTTCTCATATGAATCCCCTCTGGATGGTCCTCAAGCTTTCACTTGCAGATCAAACGCACGTCAGTGGCAAAAAGAAGAGAAGAATAGGAGTCCAGCTATATTACAGTTTACAATGAGGCAGTGGGACCAAGCAGATTAAAATTTGGAATTAGCATTCACAATTTTCAAATAATATTATTTTTCTTCACATTTCATTGGCCAAAGTAAATCACCCAGCCTGACTAAACGCAAAGAAAATGGGGAAGTACAGTCTTACCATATGCCTAGAAGGAGGTAAGAATCAAGGAAATTATGAACAGAGATCCATAATGATTACCACAGAGGCCTGTAATTAAGAAAAAAAAAAAAAAGGACTGTCTTAATCTTGGAGTCTTGGAGTCTTTGAACCGTGGACTCCAGTTCAACTATCACAGAAAATGTTAAATCATATTCACCACCTAATTAAAGATGTCCTCATTGAAATACCAAAGCAGTAAGTCCTCAGAAAGGCTTTCTGTGCGTCAGCCAGCTTAATTAGCATAGTCAGTTCCTCGGGTTGTTCAAAAGTTATTAAATTGCTTATACAACTTAGTGTTTGAGAGCAACGGCTGTTTTTCTTCATATCCCAACAAAACCTTAATCCTAGTGGCTTCATGGGATTCAGAACACCTAGGTACTGTGGCTCAGGAAAAATCACCTATTCTTACTGATCTGGGGGTATATCAGCTGGGGAAATCTCCATGGCATTCCCTGGCATTGCCACCTTAATGGAAGTTTACGATGCAGCAGAATGCACACCATTGGGGAGTACCAGATTCATCATTAACTACATTACTTCCCTGTCCTGCCCTGGGCCTCAGTTTTCCCACCCATAAAGAGAAGGACAAGAGTTGGGCCTGATGATTCCTAAGCTCTAATGGGACAGGTCTCCTGGTGGGTGGTGTCTAAAATTCTTGTCAGCACCTAGGACAGAGATATTCGTTGCACCCCAGGGATTTTAGAGAGGATGGAAGCTTAGCATGGATAGAAGCATGGATGCTGTTGAATGCATGTGTGGATTTGACTCTTTTTATTTAGATCTTGAAGTTCAGTTGAATTTTTTATGGAGTATAAGACCCTTTCAACATTTTGATACTAAAAAAACAAAAATAGAACATAACTCTTGTGCCACCTATTCCTTGGGACTATGAACCAAAAATGAGAATTATATAGAAATTGTATTTCTTGTCTTCATGAAGTTTGCCAAGTAAATGTAGAAAAGGAATCTGAGTAGGAAAACCAAGAGAGAATTCTCAAGTGACAGAGGAGAGTGGTCTATTGTCATATGTGATTATTTGGCTTCCCACTTACTGCAGTTTTTAGATTAAAAGTCATTCTGAAGCCTGGAAAAACTGTTTAATAATGAGTCAAATTCCCCCAGTAAATCAACTATTATTTTACTCACATAAGTTCTTTCTATTCCTCTGATATTTTCCCTGTCTTAAGTGGGGGTGGAGGTGGAGGAGGATTTATGCAAACACCTGTATTCATCATGTCCCACTGTGCCTGTCAATCTTTCCCTTACTTTCCTTTGCTTGCAATCTCACAAACCATGGGACTCAGCCGCATTGTATCAAGAACAGTTGTTTGTCCAGAATGACACAGCAGTCACTGGTAAAGTTCATGGGAAACTGGATGTCCTAACATCTCTCCCTCCAGTGATGCTTCATTGCCTCAAATTGCAGTGGGTCTTAATCTTTGTTGTTTTTTGTTAAACCAGTGAGAATATGATAGAAATTATGGGGTCTTTATCAAGAAAGATATTCAATGCACAAGAAAATCAGTACTTTGTCTACAATTTTAATTTCACAGACTCCCTGAAGCAAAGTTCAAAACTTCTGCTTTAGGAAGCAAACTTGCTTTAATCAAGTGACAATAATTTTCAAAGACTTAGAGGGATCTTTTTACATTTAAGTGGCTTACCGAATGCAGAGTGATGTAGTAACAAACAGACTAAAATTACTTTTTTATTTGCAGTGTGTATTTTCCTTTAGCATTCAGCCTAAGAACTTCTGATGGGAAAGATCATTTATTCAGTCAATGTATGCATTCAACAATTACTCATTGAGCATCTATGATGTGCAGGGCACAGTTCTAGACACTGAGAATGCAGCAGTTTAAGTTTAAAAAACAAGTTAGAATCTCTGGCCTTGGGAAGTATGTATTCAAGGGATGCTGGGATAGACAATAGAAATAAATGAATAAAATATAGAATATGTTAGATGGCAATAGTGCTAAGGAGAAACATAGAATAGAGAAAGAATTTAGGGAGCACCAGAGGCTATAATTTCAAGCAGGTGGCCAGGAAGATCAATTTATCAACAATGTCATCATCATCATCAATGGTATCATTATCATTAAAAAACACCAGCCCTGGCTGGGCGCAGTGGCTCATGCCTGTAATCCCAGCACTTTGGGAGGCCAAGGCAGGTGGACCATGAGGTCAGGAGTTTAAGACCAGCCTGGCCAACATAGTGAAACCCCATCTCTACTAAAAATACAAAAAGTAGCCGGGTGTGGTGGCACACACCTGTATTTCCTGCTACTCAGGAGGTTGAGGCAGGAGAATCACTTGAACCCAGGAAGCGGGAGTTGTAGCAAGCTGAGACCACGCCATTGCACTCCAGCCTGGGTGAGAGAGTGAGACTCTGTCTCAAAAAAAAAAAAAAAAAAAAAAAAAAAAAACCCAGCCCCAAGCTCTTGCTCCCCATAGTTTTAGAGACACAGTGGGATGCTTTGATTGCATTAAGTAGCATAAGAGAGAGGTCTGAGAAACAGCTGTGCAGGGGAGAGAGGTATGGGAGGAGTGACACTCAAACCTGCCAGGATGCAACCAGCAGTTCCTTACTCTCTCTTTTCAGGTCTGGTTTGTCTCTTACATATACTCTAGAGATCTTAGCTGTTCTATTTCAAAGTTTTGTTTTAAGAACAGAAGGATGTATAGAAAGAGGTATTTTTCTTTATTTTCTCTTCAAAGAGAGTGAAGCCTATGCAAAGGGCCAAACACAGGTAAATATGCCATTTAGGGAATAAGTCAGATATTTTATGAGGCAATGGGGAATTATCAAGCTCCAAAAACACCATGTGGTATCTTAAAAAGTGGGAATTTGAAGATTATCTAACTCAAAGCCTTTGATTTACTCATAAGAAAACCAAGATCGGCACGCAAACGGGGTGCCTGCCGAAAGGCACACAGCTCATTCGCAAAGAGCACAGCCCCTGCATCATGGTGCTTAGACCTAAATTTGCTAAAATGAGTTATTACAAATGCCACCCAACAGTATAGGCTAAAAGAGTTTTGGTAAATGTTCTGTGTACCTTATTTACTCCATGGAAATTTCAATTTTATACAATACAAAAAAAAAAAAAATCTGCCTCAGCAAGTGACTGAGATACAATTCATTAATGAATCCAGGTTTAGAAACCTAAGTCTGCCAGAAGCACAGAAAACACTTACGTTGTAACTAGCAACTTTCTAAGAGACCTCACTAATGCTGGTTAGAGCAGAACCACTTTTTCTTAGCCATGGACGGCTTTGGCTAATGAAAAGTCTATTGTTTTTGGTTCTATGTGGGCAGTCTTGGCTTTGCCAAGTAAATGTTGTGCCATCTCAGGTCTGTACCACAAAGAACACATGTTAGCAAGTTGAGTACATTTATTATAAAGAACACTGCTTTTGTGGATCTTGCATGAAAAGACTCACTTAAGGTACTTAATTCCCCAATCTCCAATTTGGCCATTATCAAGTGCTATAAATATATTCACTGGTTTATCATCATTTCTCTTCTGCCTGCACGCACCTGAAGGAAAGAACAAGGGGAAGCATCAAGCAGGTTTGTGATTTCTCTTTTGCTACATGTTTGTTTATAAATCTGATACCTACCAAATGTTTTAAATGTGTCTCATGTGAGTAGAATCAATCAACAAATACCAGATGATTAAAAGTGACCTTTCTCACGATTTGCCTACAAAGGTTACTACTTTTTTGATTTTTCTGCCCTTAGTATCGAAGTGTCTTTTCCTAACTCACTCCCTGCTTTTTCAAAATCTGCAGGGCATAGAACATTTAGAGGTAGGGGAGGAGAGGAATTGATCTTGGATTAGTACTTGGGGTCATTTTCCCAGAGAGGAGTCTTATCAAAGTATTAAAATATGGTGATCTAGAGAGTGAAAGAAAGAAATTTTTTTCTGAATGTTATAAGCCCAGGTGGCAGTCTAGGATACACTCCCCTTCACTAGGGTCCTTCTTTTGGAATTATTGAATTTATGTGTGTGTGTGTGTGTGTGTGTGTGTATACATGGAAATTTCAATTGTACACACACACACACACACACGTAATCAATTTTGTGGCGATAGGAACACTGTGTATAGGAGATGAAAACCCTCTCTCTGTGACACCTCTAGCCCACCGAGTGCTGAAGTCTACTCAAGTGACTCAAAAAAGAGTCCCACCCCCATCTTTTAGGAAGAAGCCAGCCCTCCCCAAAATTCACCAAATAATTTATGGTCAGTTTTTTATGCCATAGATGGAATGCTTCATCAGATTACAGCAGAGAATTAAACCTAGATGGAATGGGAGGTGAAAGAAAAATTTCTTAATATGTGTTAATGGGTACCAGGAAGTGTCTAGATTTGAGAGCAAAGCCCTGAAAAACAGAACCAGGTGGAACCCAGCATTAATGATGTGATGAGTGGCAGGGGCAGAACCAGGTGCCTGGAAAGGTAGAAGGGATAACTTTTTTTCCTGTCATTGTCACTTGTTTCAGTAAAGAAATGAAAGCATCCACCTACCCAGAGTTGATCCCCAAGTGGAGGCCAATGTGGGTCCAGGGATTGTTCTTTTAGCTTTGTACTATTATAATAATTACATCAATCATAACAGATTCATGCAATACTGAAACCAGTTTTGAAAGTTCACTTGGGATGTTAACGTTCTGGATTATCCATTTTTGCATTATGTTAATGTGTAAAGATTCACAAATCAGAATATAAATGCATTCATCTATGACGGGAGATAGATACCATAGGCTCTACAACATCAGGCACAACTTCTGGGCAGGTAATTTACCCAGGGGATGGCATTAAAGTCCCTTCTCTTACTTGGTAGCATAGAGTTAGAGTCAAGGGCATTGGATATTACTTGGTGATATTTCCAGAAAAAGTTGTTCTTCCCCACCTAAGAAAAGTTTTTGACCAAAGAGAGGTTCTAGTCATTAGATTCAGAATAGTCTTTGCCTAGACACTGGAGGAGATAAGCTGACCAATTCTAGACCTTTACTACTTGTTCTAGATTCCATACAGAGCTCACCATCCTTCTGTTGTGACAATTTTACTTGAAAAAAGTTACACAAAATAAATCATAGCCATTTTAAGCTAGATTACAGTTGCTTTTGTGATCTTTTCAAAGCTTTCATTGTCTCAGGAGCTATCCATTTCCTAAGTCTCTCAAAGGGTGTCTGCCTCCAAATCCAAAGGACAGAGACCATCTTTGGCACAAATTGCAGAGCTACCTGAGAATGTGATCACCATCTTAGTTTTATCCTCCAAAACGGAGCTGTTAACAACTAAAAGAGAAATTTGTAAGTCACGTGGAGGTGCTTGAATAAGCATAAACTCTATGGCAATCCTGAGTGAGGGGTCACCTTGGGCTGACACAATGATACTGCACTGTTTTTAAATGTTAGCACAGCAGAAAACAAAGACAAAATTAAAGTATCAGTGTTGAGCTTCTGCTCACCAGTCCAAAAATGAGCTTCCTACTCAGTTGTCACATTTCAAAAAAACTACCAAGCAAATTTTCTACATTTAGGATGTTCGCATATATCTACAGCATTTACCTCTCTGCTGTATATTTGTGACTGAGGTTGTCAATGATAACTCACACATAGTTTTAAATATGTCCAAAACCACTGAAATGGGTTGATGACTTAGAGAATCACACACAGAAATTTCTTGCTTCTCTGTGGTCATTGAACATTTAGCAAAACCACCCTGAAATAAGTTCTGTACTATTCTTAGTCTGGATTCCTTACTTAATGTCTTACATTTCATGCACTTAGGCCTCCTATCTTTCAGCTAGCTGTCACGTCACTCTGGGTAAAGCTATGACAGAATGTGCTCAAGAAATAATTATTGGATAGAGTAATAAAACGCCCCTGACCTCAAGTAGTTTGTGGGAAGAGATAAAACACCAACAAAAAAATGGGAAGTGAGGAGAAATATAAAAAGTGAAATAGAAAATTAAAGACATTGCAATGATCTAAATAAGCTGAAGCTCCCATTTTAATAGTATGTAAGCTTTCACCTTGTTGTGCTCCATGTACAGAATTTATAATCCTACATAATGAATGCAGAAAGGCTGTTGTAATAACAATAGCAACAGTACCATCTTAGAAAGTAACAAAGTTGTCCTTACCCAAGCAAAATATGCACGAAGTAAAATGCATTTATAATGCGAGTTCTTCCTTAGAGAAGAGCAGATCTGAGTCTAGAGTATTGTTAATTAATGCTTGACCCCATTTCAGAGGAACTAATTAACACCACCCAACTGTAGAGTCATTTACTGCCTTTGGGACCACTGAGTTATTGATGGTGATTTAGATTAGCAAAGTAGACAAGCTTCAGCTCAAGCAGGAGCCAACATTTTCATCTTTTAGCTCAGAGCTTGGAATCTCCTAAGTCCTTCCTCATGGTTTTCTATGTGTTACAAACTGAGAGTAACCCAAGTGTAGCTGAGTTCCACACAGCAACCAGCATCCCCCTCTGGGTGCCTGGCAATCTCACCGAAGGACGGATCCATGACTAGAGACTGGGCCATACAGAGAGACTTTGCTTTCTGCAAAATTGATTATGATGTTGAACACATTTGTAGAACCCTTAGTTAACTGTATTACTGCCTTTGGAATGTTCTTTTTAAAAAGAGATTTTTGTCTTTCTACACCGAGGTAAGGGTATGTTCAAACAAAATTTGTCTACGATGTCTTGGGCTAAGGAAAAATATCACATTGTTTGTGACAGATCCAAAAACTTTCTTTAAAAATACAATGGCCAGGTGCAGTGGCTCACGCCTGTAATCCCAGCACTTTGGGAGTCGGAGGCGGGTGGATCACCTGAACTCAGGAGTTCAAGACCAACTGGGCCAACATATTGTGAAACCCCACCTCTACTTTAAAAATGCAAAAATTAGCCAGACATGGTGGCACACACATGTAGTCCCAGCTACCTGGGAAGCTGAGCAGGAGAATCGCTTGAACCTGGGAGGCAGAGGTTGCAGTAAGCTGAGATCGAGCCACTGCACTCCAGCCTGGGCAACAGAGCAAGACTCCTTCTCAAAACAAAACAAAACAAAAAACAAATACAAGACATCAATCTGGAGAAGAGCCTTTAAAATATAGCTCAACTGAGCAATAGCGGAAATACTGTTTCATCACTTCTTTTTGGTACAGAGTCAGGCACAAATTACTGTTAGTCTCAACTGACCCTGCTCTGTTTTTCCTCTACTCCAATCACAAATACTTAACTTTAGCGTTATTTAATCACTCATTCGTTTTCCTCTGAATTCCCACTTAAACAGTTCTAATCTCACATATGTGGTGGTAAATGTGTTTATTTTATTCTATTAAAAATCAGTTGGAAAAAATCATTTTTTAAACTGGACAGGTTTTTTTCTGTGTTAATTTCAATTGTCCTTTTCAGAGAACTGAATTTGCCTGAGAACCCCTCTGGCCAGAATAAGCCAGTTTTCCCACCTTGAGGGTTCCATGTTGTTCTCCCTTCCTCCTTGACCCTATGATCAAATAGTAGTCAGTTGGTCATCACATTGGTACAAGAAGGCTTTTCCTTCCTTCTACCTAAGTTTTATTGCTACAAAAACAGATTGTACTGTCTCAGGTTTTGAGATTGTCTGTACATCTTGCTGCCTCTACTTACTCTGTCTTCTAAATCAACAATGGTTGGCTATACGCCTGCTTGATACTTAAGCTTCCTTAATGGCAATATTGAAAGTGTTACTAGAACCCTTTCAGATTTCTTAGTAGACTAAAGTTGCTTTACCAGGTACCTGTGAGATTGTTGTAAAGATGCATATCTTAAAAGTTAAGGCACAAATGATATTTTTGTCTTACATTACACTCTTGCGTTGTGAGCCACTGAGTGCTTTTTCTGAACCACTCCTGCGTGATTGGTTTTACTGGGTTCTGAGGCAGTGTGTGGCTCTTATAGAGAACTCTAGAACCCTGGTGGAAGTCAGTGTGCTCTTATATTTCTTCTGCATTTATTTTCCATTATTTAATTTTACTTTCTTCTGTGTGCAATGAATGATCTGCATGTGTTGTTAAACTAAACCCAGTGAGACTAAACTATGTTTTTTTTCCAACATAGTCAACTTGTGTCCTTATTGGCAAAATGTTCCATTGTTTCAAAAACAATCTTTCCAAAATGGTCTCTCCTTCTGTTCACATTTATTGATAGAGAAAATGGAGTTAGGCTTTTAACAACACATCATAGGACTTAAAATAAGAAATGTACTTTTCTTTCTTTTTCTACAAACTAGCAACCTAGAATCTTTTCTTCTGTTTTGTTGAACATATTCTGACAATTGGTTACCTGTATCAACTCTAACTGCAGAGGTTTCACACAAACCAAGAACTTATGTTTTTAAATTTCAACAGTTACGAATTTATTGATTTCTGTAAATATTTATTCCTTAAAGTTCTAAAGTGTATTATGACTCATATATTCTGTTTTATTGATATTTATTACAGGGGTAGCTGTATTCTAAAGTATTTATTCTTATTTTCATATGAAACATGCTAACACAGAGACTGTCGTCATTCGTAATGTCTAGTTCAAATCTAATTTTTCCACGTAGTCATTAAGATCACTGGATAGCTTTCAAGCAGCACAGTTAAACAACATAGTACTTTCTGCTTAAATAGTCTGTGTGCTTCTATATTAAAAACAATAAAGGCAAATGGCTTTGTTTTTATAAAAGAAAGAATCCCTAAGCACTTTCCTATTCGTGAAATGCTTAGTAATGTGCTGCCCTGTTTCCCTCACTCCTAGTAAGTTCTGTAGTAATAAGCAGAAGCTCTTCAGAACGTACACCTCACGGAAGCAGAGGTACCCAGCATCCGGGCTATTGACATGAGACTTGAGAATGCCAACTAACCTCAGGTGCATGACCAGGTTATACCCACCCCAACTGAGCCCTGTTCAGAGACTCACTCTTTCTAGGGACTCGAATGAGGTTTTTAACCCGCTTGTAATTTTCCTTGTTGCCTGTTGCCTGCTTTGATACTCTCCACCGCTGGGACCAATAGTCGGCGTCCCGCGCAGAACTGGCAGTCAGCCCTTTGGCGCCTCCTTGTGGCTGGACATCTGCTAAGCTGCTGCACGCACTGGATTGTCATGGCTCAGTTGCCATATTTATTGTGCCTGAGGCGAGAATTTGTAGAATGCTTATCCCATGAAGGGCTAAAACCCTAATTAAGTATAACAATAACTACAGCATTCTAAGTCCCAGAGGATTACCGTGGGGTTATGATGATGCCACACAGTTCCCTGGCAGGGAACAGCCGGTAATAGACTGCATGCCAAGCCATTTGAATACCTGTACATCTAGTTCCTAGAGACGGGAAAATTCTCTCTTGCAGGGTGACTGTGCGGGCTCTGCTGAGCATGGTCCTCAGCTGGGAATGTGGGACTGTATACTAAGAAAGATGCTCCAATCAATGACCACAGCAATTTTGTGTTACTTTCTGTAAAGCAAGACCTCCTTGTTGGTCTCCTGGGGATAATCCTTGACATTCTTCCTAAAAATACTGTTACATAAATCTTCAAAAATCATGTGCATAGATGTCACCCAAAAATGCAGGAAAATAATGAAAACTTCAAGGTACCAGGGAAGAGTCTATATTTTTTAATCAGTTCAATGTGTGTTTTCAGTAACAGTCACCTAATCAGTTTTATAGTCATCCAATCAAGATGCTCTGTTGATTTTCAAAGGGACACAAAGTAGAAAAATAATAAAAGTGAGCTTTTTGTAAGAGGACACAACTACAGATCTTTGCTTTAGAAAAGAAAATTTTGCCTGGTTAAAAAGCTCTTGATTCGAATCTTATTCTTAACTTTCACATAATTATGTCAAAAGAGAAAATGAAAACATTACTTTTGTCTGATTTGGTATGTAATATGCTGAGTTTATTTTAAAATAATTCTCGGGAATCTTTAAAATATTAGACATTAGCAAATATCCCTGTAGCTTAGAAGGACGAAAGGGAAATGTTACCTAGAATTTATTTTTGTCAACTTTAAGTGCTTTAAATGGTACTGAGATTTAGAGAATATTATTCCCACTTTCCAATTTATTCATAAGGTAATGTCAAAATGTTTCATAGAAGCAATTTTTAAAAATACTTTATAGAAATGATTTTTAAAAGAATATTATTATAAATAAACCATGGTGGATTTAATGCTGATACTTTCATTTTGGATGTTTTTACTTTTTTAGTAATTGAATTTTTTTAATTTTTCTTATTGTTTTTAGGATGTCTTATCCATTTCCTTTTTGTTTAATTGGCATAGAAAAGAGATATATCTTGAAAGCTTGAGAAAATAATTTGATATTAACTAAACCCAACCTTTCATAGTAATTAGCATCTGTTAGTTCCAGAAAAGGTAATAGATAAAATCAAATATAGTGAGGACAATTGTAATGATATCTTTGTCAACTTGAGCTATTCATTAATCTAAATAAAGGTGCAGAAGTGAACATATGCTTCCTGAACTAGATCATTGTAAATTTAAATTATGGAACAGATGTGTTGAAACTAAAAAGAGATTTGAAACTTTTACCATTTTTAAAAAAGAAAAAGAGCTTGAGAGAAGTAGACATTTTTGGGCACTATCCCTTTGACGGATTTGTTTAAATAATTGAAGGCTTTGGGATGACATGGAAAACCTAGCCTGAGAATTAAAAGATGCAGGTTTATGATGTTATTGTTGCTCTTGTTTAATGTAATCTATCATTTAATCACACCTGTGTCAAGTACAGATTAAACCCTTTCACTGTTGGGATTGTCGTAAAGAACTCTTGAACCCGCCTGACCTCATCACCAAACTGCCCCGTCTGTTCTTTGCATGTGCCTTCAGTGAGTCATGCGGGACTTAGCCGTGTCTGCATTTCCGAGGGGAGCTGTCAGTGCATGGTCAACTTGTTTATTGTTTCCAGAACTCCCCGACCACCATAGTTCATTATTTGATTTGTTTTCATGTAAACACACATGAAACATGGTGCCCTTTTAGAATATCGTTTGTTAAGCAGCTAGGCATGGAAAAATAAATGTTACTGTTTCTTGTTAGCTACAAAACACATATCCACTAAACACATTTGCTGTTGGCATGCTGCAGCTGGGGACAGTGGACATTGCGGTAAGTGGAAAAAAACAAGGCCTCCACTTCGTCTCAAATAAGCCTTATCCATGAGAATGCTGCTTTCATACCCCACAAAGGCTGCGGCACGACTCAGAGTAGCTGCTCTGAGTGACTTCCCTCAGACTTGCTGCCCCATGATTTCTTCAGGCCCTGCAGAGTCCAGGGCCTCTCACATTGATGACGGTAGCACCTTCTAACGAATGGCACAATTACTTTATAAAGGAAACAAGAAAACAAAATGGGTGCACAAAACTTCTTATAGTTCATTTGATTCCCACAAAAATCCCTCAGCTGTGTTGCTGTGTTTATCTCCATGTTAGAGATGAGGACCCTAACACCCATGTCTCTAATCCCAACCTGCTTTTCCTAGCATGTCACACCACCGCTCTTGATTAGGAAAGCGTGAAGATGTACTTTGGATTTTATGATTCTTGTTAATGCTGCTTTTATCAGCCCACAACAGTTCGATCTTAGCCAGCATCAGAGCTGAATGCCTGAACAAATATAATTTACCAGTAGCTGCCACAGCAAATCAATAACCTGTTTACTAGCAGGAAATTGTGTTAGTGAACATAACATCTCATTCCGTTCATCAGTCATCACATTCATTATATGTTGGGGCTGTTCTATCTTGTGTGGTTTTCATCTCACAAGTACGAATGTAAGCATAAAAGAAATCTAATGTTGTGTTGTATGTTTAATACTATTTATGTGGTGCTACCAACTGCTATGACACTGCATGAATTTATGGATATCATAATCTTGCCTGGAATATAAAATGCATGCCAAATGTAGGTATAAGTGTAACTGTCATCCCTGTTTTCCTGTAGAAATGTTTAGAAATTACAAAGAGATATGTTCCCAAATAAAAAATAACTTTTTAAATCTTAAAAGTTGAGGTTAAAGCTAAAATTATTCAACTGTTTTTCAAGTTAATTCCAAAACAGTTCTTGGTTATCTACAGTGTAATTGTGGACAAACTGCTGTATGACCTCAGGCCTTTCTAAGATGAATCCAAGAAAGATGTGTGTACCTGTAGAATGAGATTGATCTCAAAGGAATGCAAATACAGAGATTAGATAAAGCTTAAATTTTAAATAAGGGAAAAATACATTGCTGTGCTCCTATATGCTGAAAACATCTTGTCTCTTGAAATATATGACCACATGAGCTTCATCAAATAATTTACCCAAGCAAACTGGAAGAAATTGCTTGAAATGGAATAATCATGCCTCTGTTCTCCACAGTCAGAAGCTAAGTTTTAAGGAGCGAGTGCGCATGGCTAGCCCCAGGGGACAGAGTATTAAGAGCCGACAAGCCTCAGTAGGTGACAGGAGGTCCCCAAGCACCGACATCACAGCTGAGGGCAGCCCCACCAAAGTGCAGAAGAGCTGGAGCTTCAACGACCGAACCCGCTTCCGGCCCTCGCTGCGCCTCAAAAGTTCTCAGCCAAAACCAGTGATAGATGGTAAGCCCTGTTTTTCCATAACCATTTTTAATTTGATAGGCTATAGTGAGTGAGATTATGAAGTAATTAATTCTCCACAGTGCCACTTGAAGATAGAAGAAAACAACCCCAGGGAAAGAATTGTTTGTTTTATTGGAAATTTATTCATTGCCTTGGGCAAATGTACAGAACAGAAGTTTACTTTTGGAAACCACTTTGGCAGCTAAATTTACATTTCAAAGAAGCCAACAAAATGTTGTTAATTCTTCACTTGTATCTACACATTTTATTCTCAGACAAGGGCCACGTTAAGATGAATGGGGCTATCATTCTGATGTATATATGACATCTGACCAGCAAAGGTCCAAGACCCGGGGACAACCAGGTGCTCTGTGCATGTCTTGAAACACAATAAAAAGGGTGATCATTTCTGGTCAAGAATGAAGGGGCTGTTTCCCTCTCTCACACACTCTGCCTACCGGCAAATCAGAGACCACTGCTTATCTTCCTTAGAGAGGTTCCTGTTGAAAGTTACTTCAGAGTCTTCCAATGATAAGTAAAATTCAAGTTCTTCTCCCAAGAGGAATTAACCTATTTTATATATCATATTGTGTAGCAGACATTCACTTGCCAACACATTTTATTGAGTGCCACAAAATTTTCATGTTTATAAAACATTTTATTTTTCATTTAAGATAAGCTTGGCTTTCCTTTTAACTAGGCCCCCTGGGATCTCTTATACTGGGCAAGGAACCAAAATCCAATAGCATCTCCCATTAATGCATAAAAACTGCAAAGGCTATCAGTCCTTCTGTTCTCTTTTCCTAAAATAACGCGTATTTTCTCAGGCCCTGAAAGCCCAAGGAATAAAATTAACAACCAGGGGTCGTAATCACAATGATCTCAGGCTCCCTGCAGTGAAATCCCTGGAACCTCAGTCCACGGGTTCCTCCCAGCTTACTCAGAGGTCCTCAGGGATATCTCTTCCACGCTTAAGTGAGCAACACAAGTCTCCTCTTCACGCTTCACTCCACACCCCGTGAGTGCCATGCTCTTCAGGGCGACCCCTAGTGGCTGCACTGACATGGCTCCTCCCGGCGGAGCTTGCAGCTCCCATATGGGCTCAAGTCGTCTGATCCTGCCTTGCTTCCCCCCAACCTGTCCTGTGCTAAGGGAGGAAAAACCTCCGCCACCAACACGGGACACTCCTCCGTTGAGCCACTTGCAGGATCTGAGTCACTTGTGGCACAGCTTTTCAGTGTCCTCTAGTTTCCTCACTCTTCTCTTAGGATTTTGGCTGAAAGCCCTTGAGCAGCTGAGTCAAGAGTTACCAGTGACAGGGCTTTATGTTGCACTCAGAATAGACTTTCTGAATATAAATGGGTACATCCTTTCTGGAGGGCAATTTGGCAAAACATATTAAAAGTCTTTACATATGTCTAAGCCTAGACACATCCTACCCACAAATTCTATTTCTAGGATATAATAGATACAATGAAACAATATCAGACATTAGGGATGATGCTCTAAATTAAAAATTATTGACACAGAAAGATGAAAAGAAAAAATAAATCATTCCATTTATGTGTATTATATAAATTCATGAATATATAGGGAAAAGTCTGGAAAGATTTACAAGAATGTATAAACAGTTACCTTTGAGTGGTGTGATCACAGTTATATTTTGTTTCTTCATTTTTTTAAATCTGTATTTCCTAATATTTCTACAATGAACAGGTGAATCTCTCGTAATGAGAAAGCAATAGAGGATTTTCCTTTTTTTTTTTTTTTCATTTTATTGTATTTGGGCTCTGGGGTACATGGGCACGTCCTGCATCCTGCAGGATTGTTGCATAGGTACATATATGCCATGGTGGTTTGCTGTTTCCATCCCCCCCACCCCGCCACCATCGCCTACATCAGGCATTTCTCCCGGTGTTAGCCCCTCCACTCCAGTGTCCCCCTCCCCTCCCCGCCACACCCCCACCTAGCCCTATGAGTGTTGTTCCCTTCCCTGTGCCCAAGTGTACTCATTGTTCATCACTCGCCTATGAGTGAAAGCATGCGGTGTTTGGTTTTCTGTTCTTGTGTCAGTTTGCTGAGAATGATGGTTTCTAGGTTCATCCATGTCTCTACAAAGGAAACAAACTCATCATTTTTTATGGCCGCATAGTATTCCATGGTGTATATGTGCCACGTTTTTTTTGTCCATTCTATCATCAATGGGCATTTGGGTTGATTCCAGTCTTTGCTATCATAAACAGCGCCACGATGAACATATGTGTGCATGTGTCTTTATGATGGAACGATTTATAATCCTTTGGGTATATACCCAGTAATGGGATTGCTGGGTCAAATGGAATTTCTGTTTCTAGATCCTTAAGGAATTGCCACACTGTATTCCACAGTGGTTGAACTAATTTACACTCCCACCAACAGTGTAAAAGTGTTCCTATTTCTCCACATCCTCTCTAGCATCTGTTGTCTCCAGATTTTCTAATGATCACTATTCTAACTGGCATAAGATGGTATCTCAATGTAGTTTTGATTTGCATTTCTCTAATGACCAATGATGATAAGCATTTTTTCATATGTTTGTTGGCTGCATATTTGTCTTCTTTTGAAAAGCATCTGTTCATATCCTTTGCCCACTTTTGAATGGGTTTGTTTGTTTCCTGTAAACCTGTTTTAGTTCTTTGTAGATTCTGGATATTAGCCCTTTGTCTGATGGGTAGATTGCGAAAAATTTTCCCCGTTTTGTTGGTTGCCGGTTTACTCTAATGATTGTTTCTTTTGCTGTGCAGAAGGTCTTAAGTTTAATTAGGTCCCATTTGTCTATTTTGGCTTTCGTTGCCATTGCTTTTGGTGTTTTAGTCATGAAGTCCTTGCCTGGGCCTATATCCTGAATGGTTCTACTTAGGTTTTCTTCTAGGGTTTTTATGTTGTTAGTTCTTATGTTTAAATCTTTAATCCATCTGGAGTTAATTTTTGTGTAAGATGTAAGGAAGGGGTCCAGTTTCAGCTTCCTGCATATGGCTAGCCAGCTTTCCCAACACTATTTATTAAACAGGGAATCATTTCCCCACTGCTTGTTTCTGTCAGGTTTGTCAAAGATCAGATTGTTGTAGATGTGCGGCATTGCTTCCAAGACCGCTGTTCTATTCCATTGGTCTATATCTCTGTTTTGGTACCAGCACCATGCTGTTTTGATTACTATAGCCTTGTAGTATAGTTTGAGTCAGGTAGTGTGATGCCTCTAGTTTTGTTCTTTTTGCTTAGGATTGTCTTGGCTATGCAGGCTCTCTTTTGGTTCCATATGAAGTTTAAAGTGGTTTTTTTCCAGTTCTGTGAAGAAGGTCAATGGTAGCTTGATGGGGATAACATAGAATCTATAAACTACTTTGGGCAGTATGGCCATTTTCACAGTATTGATTCTTCCTAACCATGAGCATGGAATATTTCTACAATGAACAGTTAAATCTCTTGTGATAAGAAAGCAATAGAGGATTTTCTTTTTTAAAAAAATAAACATTTTTAAAAAGCCCTTAGTTTATAAAAACAAAATGGTAGAGAAAAAAATGAAAACAAAACTAGGCATTGAAGAAAAAAAATTAGCCCTTCCTTTCACACACTGCCCTCTCCCTTGCCCTTACTCTACAGGCCCTTGCACTGACTCGTACTCACCTAACTCCTCTCCTTAAGCTGTTTTCCTCCCAAGTGGTAGAAGGAGCAGCTTGTCTTAATGGTGAAAACCAGTCTTTGTTGAATGCAAAGACTATCTAATGATGTTTAATGGCTTATACTACAAATGGAACTTGTATTAGTTTGCTCAGGCTGCCATAATAAAGTACTAGATGCCTTAAACAACAAAAACTTATTTTCTCACAGTCTAGAGGCCAGAAGCCCAAGTTCAAGGTATCAGCAGGATTGGTTCCTTCTGAAGGCTTTCTTCTTGGCTTGTAGATGGTCTTCTCCCTGAATCTTTACATAGACTTTTCTCTGTACATGTGCAAATTTCCTCTACTTGTAAGGATAGCAGTCATATCGGATTAGGAACCACCCTAACAACCTCATTTTAATTTAATCACATCTCTAAAGACCCTATCTCCTCAGGGATACTAGGGCTTAGGACTGTAACATATGAATTTTGGAGGAATGCGATTCGGCCCATAGACAAAGCTCATGCTCACCCATATCACAGCATCCCTGGCAAGCTGAAATGTGTCCATATCTTCATCCCTGGCCCTGGCTTCACACTGTATTAGAAATTGTATATTACATATTGCAACAGGACTATATTCTTCTAACATGGCTTCAGAAAGCATTTAGCTTTATAATGTAAGGTCCCTGCTGTTGGCTGAGCATATTTAAATATAAAATTCATAGAATCTGGATTTTGATTTGGAAAACAAATTCTACTTGTACTGTTTGGCCAGAGGGAAAGAATTTTTCAAAGACTCTAGAGTCTGCACTGTCTATCACAGTATTTTCAGTATCTGCAAAGATGTCTCAGAGGTCAGACAGAAACAGAGCTCCTATTCTCTACTAAATCACAAACTGGAAAGGTCTCCTGTCATCTATTTTCTAGGTCATTTCATACAAGTTCAGTTTTGTTTGTTTACAAAGGAATTGCTTCTCCCTTATTGATGTCCATATCAATTAATTCTGAGTTTCCCAAGTGACCAGAGGAACAATTGCTGTTCTGTTGAAGTTGCTTTGTTGGCTGCCCACCTGCAAGAGAGAATAGTTCCTGCCTCCTCATTTAATCCGATAGTCCAGAATCTTTACCTCTGATTGAACTCAATGTTGAGTCTTGGGAAACTGGAAGTTCTTTTTTTACAGGAAAAAGAAAATTAAGTAGCTGTCAAATAAATGTAGACTTCATTTGTACGTCTTTACTTATAGTACCTCTCTAGGTTTTAAGTATTTTTAAAATTTACTTAATACCATAGAAAATAATATATAACACAGCCAGCTTTCAATTATTCCAGATCTGTTTACTCATTCACTTCTGAGGCAGT